GATTGACAAGAAGCACACCTACAGGAGGCAAAAGATGAGTGAATCCCTTTTAAAGACCCAAGTAATGAAGCCCTCAGGGAATCGCCGTGTGTGGCAGAATTTACAGTGGTTTCTGGAGGCGAACAGTGTGGCAGGAAGAGGTTCAGGACTGCCGGCTATTGAAATACAGTCTGCATTTATTTTATATCAGCCTATTTTGGGCCCCAGTGAGGAAGTTATTTTAATATCTTGCTCTGCTAGAAATATACATGGTAAGTGGTAGATGTCAGAAAAAGAGGGTAAAGTTACAGCACTCCATTCTCCTTGAGACTTACGGAGCTTATATAGTTGTTCTCTTTGAAATAAACACTGATGCATACAGAGCATAAATTGAAAAGGATGTTAGACATAGTCCACACCAGTGATCCTCAGATGACTCAGAATTCAGGGCTAGAGTATTAAGGATCTGCATTTTTAATAGGCTACCCAGGTGATTCTGATACAGCCAGCCCAGCATTTGGGGATGCCTTTTCTGACCGAGTACTCTTACTTTACAGATAAGAAAATGAAGACCCACGTAAAAATGTAAAATTACTTGAGGTATTAACCTATTATGGGCTAGAAACCATATTTTCTGGCTCGCAGCATATCCATTTCCTAGGAGGTCACAGTGCCTCTTAAAGTGGTCATAGTTAAGAGCTTAGGCTACCTGTTTCCCTCCGTAGCAGGGCCTACTTACCACCTGAGGCTTGGGGGAGTACATTTGAAATCTGAGGTCTCCTGACCTCCAGTCAGGCTCTTTTCTCTTCAATACACTGATACCAAGGTTGAGGCACTCAATTACTCTAAACCGCTGCATCTGTGAGAAGGCTGGTAGATGATTCTTTTGTTCTATCCTTTTGTTGTTTGAGTTTCATGAATTCTTAGAGTTTATTTTCTATAGATTCCCTTCTTCAGTCTACTTCTAAATAGAAGTTGAGTAATAAAGTCAAAATATGGTACTGTTCAATACGAGTAAAAATTATTTGTAAGGCACCAGGTAGTGGCTCCACATCAACTGCATACTGACTGAATCTAAACACCCAGCTTTCTTAGAACTAGGAGAGAGTAACAGGAACTTTGCTTTGTAAGTTTCCTGAATAAATGGTACATAACCAACACTTATTAAGAAAAAGCATTTATCCATTCATTCACCAGATATTGACCATCTGCTATCTACAAGCACTGATCTAGACATGGAATACTGTTATGATCAGGAGAGAAAATGTCCATGCTCTCATGGAGCTTAAGTTCTAGAGGGAGATTGTATGTATTGTATGTATGGAAACAAGACTATGCAACCCCCAGAGGAAGATTTTTATTTGTTCTGTTCCTGGCTGTGTCTCCAGTGCCTGAGCAATACCTAACACATAGTAGGTGCACAATGGACAGTTACTGAGTGAATGAGCACCATCAGATAAAATAGAAACTATAGCCCCTCCCAAATTAACTTTTTTACAAAAAGAAATAGAATTTGGTAATGTTCAATGAGAAATATTACTTACGTAGGGGATTAATCATTTACATTTGTTTCTAATTTGCTGTATTTTGTAAACTCTAAAAGCTTCTTGTGAAAAAATTTTTATATCAGTGTGTACTTTCAGGCTTGCGTCTGGCATACATAGATACTAACTCACATAACAGCTGGAAATATATATTATATACCTATAAAGATCTAAATATTTATAGTATTTTGTTTTATAAAATAAATTATACTTTTATGTACAAGCTAAAGCAGTCAAGGGTGAAATGGTTTCACAGGACTGGAATGTTTGTTGTGATAAAATAAAAAGGACATTCAGGTGAGCGGCATATCAACAGTTACAGCCTATTCGGGTGGTAATGGCCGTGGTAATCGTGCTGTCATTTTATGTAGGCTTCTAGTCTCAGCTTTCAAAACGTTTAAGAGCTGGACATCCCTGGTGGCGCAGTGGTTGAGAGTCCGCCTGCCGATGCAGAGGACGCGGCTTCTTGCCCCGGTCCGGGAAGAACCCCCATGCCGCAGAGCGGCTGGGCCCGTGAGAGCCGATGTTGAACAAATAGGGATTTACATACATGGCGTTTCTTTGCCGTCATCCCCAGCAAAGTATATCTCCACTGGGTGAAAGGGGGTGGCCAAGCTAGTAATACAAAATAAAGTGAGAAAAATAAATAAATACATAAATAAAAAATAAAGTGAGAAGGTTTGAAAATAGCTTGTGATTCTGTAAAAATATTGAATCACTGTATTGTACACCTGAAACTAAAATAATATTTTAAATCAACTATACTTCGATTTCTTAGAAAAGGAAAATAGCTTGTAACTGATTAAGCACAAGTACTTCAAAATAATAGAATTCTCTAAGATGATTAGTTTATAAACAAGGTATGTGATGAGACTACTCTAGATGTCCTTATCTGTAAACAGCATTATAGTTACTGTTACTACCTGAAAAAACTGATTTTTTTTTTCTGAGACAATTGGGGAAATGGCTCAATACGTCCAAAAGGAAAAGTCCACCTACATCATTGTAAATTATAGTTTCTCTGCACTTTACACTGCAACCTCAAGATATGAAAGGTACTCAACTTTCTAACTTTCAACAGATACCACTTTCAACACTTCTACCATGTCCTTTGTGTTAAACACTGTAAGGTGAGGATGTTGAAAGTGCAAGAATGAAGAGGAGGTGGTTAGAACAGAAACAAGACTGAAAGTAGTGAGGAAATGGCAGATGTGTTTCAGGAATGAGTTGTTTGACAGTAGGAATAATTCCACAGGGGTCCTAGTTTGTGTGTCATTGGAAAAGTGCTGCGCCTGAGCAACCCATGCTGATCAGCAAGAGACAGGGAAAGGATGAACAATTGAAAAGGTGGAAAACTGGTGACCACAGGATCAGCCTCCATGTCAGATATCCCTTAACCTAAAATGAATTTGAGAGACAGCTGAGAGTTTGAGAACTTAAAGACTAAGCATATTGTGAAATGCTGCTGCTGAAATTTTGGTCACAAGCCATGGATTATTCATGAGATCAAGGCCAATTCATATTTGCACAATATGAAAGTGAGTAGCTAGGTCATGAGTGCACTATGCAGACGTGCTCAGGGGCTCCACACTGCACCTGCAGAAGTTATAGTGCGGGGAGAGAGATTTCAGTTTAGACAAAACTGTTTTATCTTGGGAAAAGTTGTCCATAGACAAACAAACAAGTAAATATGAAATCTCTGAACAGAGAGAAGGATGAGCCTGGTTTTAAAATACCTGCAAGAACCGATTCTCATTCCTGTTGGTGTATTGCATCTCAGGACTAATTCAAACCCTTCTTAGTTCGCTGAAACTCCTAGATCCCCAAAACATCTTTGAAGAGCAGATTGAAAACCACGAATTCTTTTTTATAGTATATTGGTTGCAGAGGCCTTTTGGTTCATTGAAAGTGTACAAGTCACAGTTTTAACTGAGTCGTTTGTGATAGTGCCAACAGCTATACATGAGCAGTGTCTTATTAGAAGTTGCTTTTTATGAAAACAAGAAAAACAAAATGCAGGCATCTTTTGGATAAATTTTTAAAAGATTATAAAGAAGTGAGAAGAGTCAGGATTAATGTTATAAAGATCTCATTTTCTCTCATGAAAGTAATCTACCCACATTTATTATCTGTATAGTGTCGTTTTAGACTCAGGAACAAAATGGTCTCAAGACCTAACCTGTTCATAAGTTGAAGGGCTCTTGCTCTGTGCAGAGGTGGCAGGAAAAGTTTGTTCTGAAGTCCACAAAAAATGAGCTTACCTACCAGCAAATACTAACACATTGGTTGTCTCTATTATGTTCAGACTTGATACATACACTTTTGAGTACATGTTTTCATTTTAAGTTGTTCTTTAATAACTAAAAATAATTTAAAATAAAATTTGACCTCATACAGGATGTCTCCTACCTCCAGCTTTCTTCCCTTTCCTCATCCCTGGTGACAGTGGGATGGAGGTGGGTGTCTTTTGGCATGATACAACATATTAAAAATTATGCCAAAGCAAGTGGAAAACTTGACCCCATAGATTACTAATTGTAGAGAAGGAAATATGTCATTACAGTGGAACCATCTGATAGTCACCACTTTAACCAAGTGATCAAATTTATAGCATTATTAAGAGTAGGACAGCCTGACATTTGGTGCCTTCCACATTGATGCAATATGAAGTATATAATATTCCATGTAAAATATTCTTGCCAAAAATGTTTAACCTAAACCTAAGCAAGCTTCTTCAGACCCAACTTTCAGTTTGTAAGCACACAGGGACAAGTTAAATGACACGATGAAGAAATAATATGACAAATCCAGAAAGAGACATTTTATACGACAGCTGCCCTGGTCTCCTCAAAAAGTCAATTATTTTAAAAGTTAATGATTTTTATTTTCATTTCTTAAAAAACGGGGAGGGGCTAGTCTAGATTTAAAAGGCGAAACAGAGACATAAAAACCAAGTGCAATGTGTGAATCTTGATTAATTCTAGTTTGAGAAAAAAAGCTAAAATAAAATATATTCTTGGGACAGTGGGAGAAATTTGAACATGGGTTGTATGTCAGATGATATGGCATTATTGTTAGTTTTTTTAATTTGAAAGTGATCGTGTATGAGATGTCCTATGCTTACGAGTTTTTTTAATTTGAAAGTGATCGTGTATGAGATGTCCTATGCTTACGAGTTGTGTGCTGAAGCACGAAGGGGTCCTATGCTTACGAGAGGTCATGGTGTTTGCCACTGTCAAACCTAGAGTGTATATGTGTGCTTGTGGTACTGTTCTTACAACTCTTCAATATGTTTGAGAGTTTTATTTGTATGTATACACATACATATATATATATATTTCACTATATACATATATAGAGACAGAGAAGGGGAGAGGTGAGGGGGGAGAGAGTTGACACTCTTTGAGAAGCAAAAGTTATAGAAATACTAAATGATTTTTAAAGAACTAATTAATTTCCCCCTCTTTTCTGTTTTAGGCTCAACAGAAAGGAAGATTAGACTATGCTAAGGTAGGTAGATTTTGTACCTTCTACACAGGTTTATACATTTCAGTTTGACGCTTGGTTTTTGTTTATATTTGAAAGGTCAAAAGAGAGTCATCACATTCAAAGCTTTAGCAGGTAAAATAGGATTCATTTAATGATAAGCTTATTTACTGAATGCCTGCGTCATTCCAGACACTTTTAGGTATTGGAAATACAAGAGTGAACCAGATCAACTCTTTCTTTCATGACATTTACAAGCTAGTGGGGGAGATGGGTAAACTAATAAGCAACTAAATGGATGCATAATATAACGTCAAATGGTGGTAAGTGTTGTGAAGAAAAACTGGGTAAGCACCAACCATTGCTGGAAAGATGCCTTTGGACTATGGAAAACAGCTTTTAGCATCATCAGCTAATACCTGGGAAGCACCATTCAGGGCAGATTTGGATTTCTAAAGGCAGTATTTTTCATATCACCTGTGAGGCTTTTGAAAACATACATGCCTGGGTTACCACAGCATAATACCCTCTTCCACCAACGTCAAAATCCACTGGTGGGCAGAGCAGGGCGGGGGCAGAATGAAAGGGTTTGAAAAAAGGCTCCACAGATAATTCTGACACACAGCCTTGTTCAAAAACTGCTGTGGGGCTTCCCTGGCGGCGCAGTGGTTGAGAGTCCGCCTGCCGATGCAGGGGACGCGGGTTCGTGCCCCGGTCCGGGAAGATCCCACATGCTGCGGAGCGGCTGGGCCGCTGAGCCTGCGCGTCTGGAGCCTGTGCTCCGCAACGGGAGAGGCCACAACAGTGAGAGGCCCGCGTAGTGCAAAAAAAAAAACTGCTGTGGGATTTCAGATTTCAGTGCACCGGTGCAAGCCTATAACACACTTGGGTCACATTCTGTTTTCTCCTGAGGAACAAATGGAATATTTTAGCAAGTGTATGGGATGCATACAGCTGCTTGGCTAAAGGAACATGCTAACCATCTGGTTTTCGCAACAGTCAAGAATAGCCAGTGTGAGCACACCTGCACACCAAAGACGAGGAGGAAGAAGTGGGACCTGTAAGGGCTCTGCTCGCAGTGGGACAACCAAAACCCTCAGTGATCTCTCCAGGGCTGATCCAGAACCTTGTGCTCTCCTGACAGCCCCGGAGCGCACACCCCTGGCTCCATGCCTTTTCCTTGCCTGAAATGCAGGTCCTCCTTTTCTCTATTTCACAAACTTTTGCATTCTTCAAGAAAAATTAGATTAATAGGAGCACCTCTAAACTGAGGACTTCTGTGTCTGTCACTGTATCTTAGATGTCTACTTGAGCCTAATACCCAAATGGTCTCCCACAGGCAAAGAAGCTCAAAGTGTCTTAAACTGAACTCAGCATCTTCCCAACATCTCTGGACCCTTTTTTTTTTAATAGACTTTTATTTTTCAGAGCAGTTTTAAGTTCACAGCAAAATTGAGCAAAAAAGTATAGAGAGTTTACATTACCCCCTGACCCCACACAGGCACAGCCTTCCCCACTACCAGCATCCTGCTGCAGAGTGGTACCTTTGCTACAATCAGTGAACCTGCATTGATGCATCTTTATAACCCAAAGTCCATCGTTGACATTAGGGTCCAGTCTTAGTGTTTTATCTCTGGTCCTTGTTACTCATTCTGTCTCCTGATGTTGGCACTGTCATCCCACCAGTCAACCGTGTGAGAAACTTAGAAGTCACTCTCAAATGCTCTTACCCCCTCACCCCTATGTTCCATGACCAAGTCACATCAGTTTTATATCCTACATTTTCTTGAATCCAGCCCCTCCTCTTGATCTCTCTTTCATTGTTCATGTTCAGTCTCCTCATCTGAACCACTAGGAAACCTACTGACTGGTCTCTATGCCTCTCTTTTGTCCCCACAGATCCATTGCCAGCCAGAATGTCTATCTAAACCACAAAACTGGTAGTTTCACATTCCAGCTTAAAACCTTCCTTGGCTCCATGTTGTCTATAAGGCAAATTCAGAGCTTGCTGGAGTGGCATATAAAGCACTGTGGTCTCATCCCCTGGAGGGACTCTCCAGCTTTGTCCCCTCCTACCCTGTGCTCCAGCGGCACTAAATTACATAAAACATACTGTTTCTATTCTCCGTGCCTTGACCCATGCTGTCCCCTCTGCTTGGAATGCAGCAGTGTCTCCCTTAATCTGGCTACCCCTGCCTCTTCTGTAAGGCTTAATGTAGGATCATCTCCAAGAGGAAGTCCTTCCTTGTTCCCTAGGCTGGATGAGGTGCTCCATTCTCTAACACACTGTGCATCTCTCAGTCATTGCATTTAACTCTGTTATTTTATAATGACCATTTATGAGACAGATCATAGACCGTGAGCTCTTTGAGGGCAGAGACAGTATCTTTTTTTTTTTTTTTTTGCGGTACACGGGCCTCTCACTGCTGTGGCCTCTCCCGTTGCTGAGCACAGGCTCCGGACGTGCAGGCTCAGCGGCCATGGCTCACGGACCCAGCCACTCCGCGGCACGTGGGATCCTCCCGGACCAGGGCACGAACCTGCGTCCCCTGCATCGGCAAGCGGACTCCCAACCACTGCGCCACCAGGGAAGACCCCCAGAGACAGTATCTTATTTGTATGCTTGGTGCCCAACACAGTGCTTGGCACTTGGTAAATGGTGAGTGAGTGAGGCCATAAGAAAATAGAAGACCCATGAAGTTAGTTACAGGAGATATTCTGGTATAGGGTTTTTTATTTCAGTCAAAGAGGAAAGGAAAGCTTTTGACACAAGTTGCAGGTATCAGCAGGGATAAGAAGATTGCTTGGAAAGGTTGTAATAAACTAGCTTGGAGATAAATGCTGGGATTTCACTGGGATAGTAAAGGAAATAACTTATAAATGAAAAAGTAAGGGAAATGACATCATGATTTGGCAATAGAGTGATCATTTATCATTGATGCTTATTTACGATTCAGAGAACTCCTTCAGGATTTCTTATTGCAGGAGCACCTGATAGTGGAAGAGACTGGAAGAAAAGAAAAGAATATGGGGCACAGATAGAACACCCTGAACCGAGCAATGGCTCTGTTACCAACTCACTGCAAAATCTGTTCTCAGCCACTTAACCTTTTAGGCCTTCCCTCAGTTTCCTTAGTATAAAAGGAGCAGTTTAGAATAGTGCTGTTCTACTCTTTAGGCCCAAATCTGAGAGGAGACGTTCTTTCTGGGGGGAGAGGGGACATTCTTATCTTGTGCACTACTGCGGTCCAGATTCATCCGCTTCATACGCCCAAGCACTGTGGATCTGATATTTAATGTGGGCGAGGTGCTGCGCTGGGGCTGACTACCGCCACAACCAGGGCTGACTCAGACCTTCCTATTGAAAGTCCACCTTTTCTCTGTTTTTTCTCTCCTTAACATTTATCATAATCTAAAATTACCATTTTTATTTAGTTGCTTGTTTTTTCTGTCTTCTTCCACTAAAATGTAAGAGCCCTGAAGGCAGGGCCTTCAATGGCCTTGTCCATGGTTGCATCGTCTGTACCCAGCACAAGCTTACGTATAGGGGTGACAAATGCGTATGGATGAGTGCTGCATTGGTGCGATGCTAGGAGAAGTGCAGGAAGCCAAGAGGTCTGGAATTGGGGTTTGTAGACTCAAATTAGCCATTTAAAGAGTATATTGACTATATAACACAGTCCATCCCTATGTTCAGTAGCCCTAAGTTTGCCTTCCCAAGTGCCCAGTGAGAATATTTCTCATGCCAATAAACAGAAACCCACCCTGCTAGGGTATGTGGTGCTGTGCTGATATTTAAGGGATCTAGGCAATTAACCCAGACCTATCATCCATACATAGACCCAAATCCAAGTACCATGGGTAAAAACAATTATATCCATCCGTACCAAGTGTCGGGGAGACATCTGCAGGGTCCAGCTCACAGTATTGTCTCTTACGTAGCATATCATGAGTCCATGATATGGTCCTGGTGCTCATGCTGACTGATGCAGGCATCATGCTAGGCAGCTTAGGACTCCCCTGGTGGGTTTATCTGTAAAACTACTTTTTTTTTTTTTTTTTTTTTTGGCTGCGCCAGGTCTTAGTTGCGGGCACGCAGGATCTTTGTTGCGGCTTGTGGGATCTTTAGTTGCAGCATGTGGGATCTTTAGTTGCGACATGTGAACTCTTAGTTGCAGCTTGCATGTGGGATCTAGTTCCCCGACCAGGGATTGAACCCGGGCCCCCTGCATTGGGAGCGTGGAATCTTACCCACTGGACCACCAGGGATGTCCCTCTGTAAAACTACATTTGAAAAACTCAATGGCCATTTCTGGAGAGTGTCATGAAATTTATTTATTGCTGGAGATTTCTTTATTTCCAAGTGGTGAGTGTTTTCTCAAAAGCCAAATTTTATCTGAAAAATCAGATTTTAAGAACCATAGAAAATTATTTTGACCATGTGCTCTATGGCTTTGTATACCAGCTCTCCAATTTTGTCAGTCTCAGAATGGCAAGGAAGCAGGGGAGAGGGCAGAAGTGACGATCAAAATCAGTCTCAGCTAGATCTCGAGAGTGCCTGTCACATTCAGCAAAACAGTGGTCTGTCCTCAAACACTCAGAAAAGAAATTGAATTACTTCTTAATTGAGTTCCTGTGGCGATGAAGCCTGGATGTGAAGGCTTTACACTGCTGCACTGCCTTTATCATCTAAAGATATCAAAGCACTCAGCAACTATTCATTCATTAAGTCTCTCCCGCCTCTGGAAGGTGGTTAACACCAGCACAGGAGCACTCTACCTACTCCTGAAGCTCATCCACCCAGGGCTGGGCAGGAATGGAAGCTGTTTAACTGTAAGGCAATTCTACCCAGCTTCTAAAATGAAAAAAACAAGAAGTATCTTACGTACCTAGTTAAAGCTGCAGAAGTTTTATTGGACAGAATGTAATCACCAGAAGTGAATTGTGACCAAAAAACCAGTGCCGACAGTTTTGCTCATATGCGCGATGCAATGGGGATCTTCATTACAGTGATTGGTCTGCAG